GTGGGAAGATTGAAAGCATTCGAGGAACGCATCAGAAAGCCAACTGAGGAAGGAGATACACATGGTAAACTATTATTCACTAAAGGTGATGGAAAAGAGAAGGTTCAGGAGCAGAAATGTGAGCATTGTGGTTGCTGGAGCTCAAACCGAGAAGACTTTGGACGTGGCCGAGGTAGAGGTCGGGGGTCCGGGAAAGGTCAGGATGGCGGTCGGCTTCAGCGGGATAAGAGTCACATTAAGTGTTTCAAGTGCAATGAGTTAGGACATTTTTTGAACGAATGTCCAAAATGGGATCAAAAGGAAGACATTGCAAATTTGATTGAAGATGATGATGAACCAACATTATTGTGAAGGTGTGAACAAACAACGATTAGGGGGGTGATTGTTAGATTTAATCGTATTGTTTAATTCCTGGTCATAAGTTATTAGTTTAGATTTAAATTTTAAAAATAAAAGGGACAGTGGTAGTTATTTCTGGAGGTTAAAGGTAGTTATTTCTAGAAGTTGTATTAGTTAGTAATAGATATGTTGATTAGTATCAAAAGTTGTGTTGGTTGATGTCTATAAATAATCTAGGAACATAGAATTCCTGAATGGAGTTCACAATAAAAAATCAGATCTGGAGTATTTAAACAGAGTATTTTATAAACAGATCTGCATTTGTTTTGTTCTTCCAATTATTTTCCTACAATGATAACCTCTTACCTTACACATAAAGCCTAAGAGCATGTTCTCTTCGACTTATCTCATTACTTTGATATATTAAGGTCTGATACGACTGAAATCTTTCTAGTCTAGTCTCATTTAATTCCAATTAAAGTTAAAGTTGTATATGTTTCTATTTTGGTGTGGTCTCATCTGAATTTTTCGATCATAATCTTATTCGAATACTAATAATCAATAAGTAATAACTCTCATTCATCAATATCTGAGTTTCATTCATTGCGATCCATTTTTGTAGAAATGAAGCACTTCGAGTTGCTTTCATTGATGAGGTTGAGACATTGATTGAAGGTAAAGTGCACGAAGAATACTTCTCGAAACTTGTGAAGGCTAACATCAATGGGAAAGATATGGTTTGTCCTTTTATTACTACTTTTTGTTATTACTCCGAGTTTTATTACTTGACTAGGTGCCCATCTTTGTTGTTTTCTATAAACATATTTAAAAGAGCTTGCATTTCTTCTGTTTTTGACAAATTCAGAAGAACTTGCAAGGTGCGTTACTTTGCCACTCTATGCATGGTTTTTATGTTGTCCACTATTCGACCTTGGAAAGGGGTGACCGGAGTAAGCGATGCTGCATCACGCCGACAGATACGAGATTTAATGGATAAAATGGTAAATAGAAATTATGAATAAATATTTAATCAATTATTTAAATCCTCTCTTGGAAAAAACATAACAAGTCCTATTTAGGGAATTTGTGGTTTTGTTTTGCTCCTTTCGATTCCCCATGTTTAGTTTCTTTTCATTTTTAATTTTTTAAATTTTCTTATTTATTTAACCTTTTAAATATTCTTCCTTATCTTCCAATTTATCACTTTAGTTTTTACCTTCCTTTTAAGACCTTATCTAAATAATGCTTCTATTTACCCCTAGACTTATGTTTTCTTTTATTTTTATATTTTGATATGAACATCAATAAAAATATTGTTATCATTATTATTAAGATTATGGTTATGATTATTATTATTACTATAATTATTATTATTATCATTTTTAATTTCCTATTACTAGTCTTATTATATTTTAGTCAATATCCCTAAATAAGGATTCATGTTTCCTAGTATGATTATGATAGGTGTCTTTTAAGGTGTTGCCCATTTATACTCACACAATGATGAATGGTTGAAGTCTAATATCTAATAATGAGATTTTAGTCACCACGTGCTCTCCCCTCATAGTCACAAACAGGGAAAGATATTCTTCTTCCACATTTGCTAATACATTTGTAACAATTTGGTATTAGAACCATTTTCATTCCTACTCTTTTTATCCCTTTTGCTCCTTTGGTTTTTTTATAACTAGAAAATGTCAACAATAGAAAAGTGGTTGGATAATTTTGTGTTTGATGTTTTTGTAGCGTGAGATGGTGGGGGGTTTATTGCTAGAAAATTCTTGCATCGTATTTTAATTTTTTATTTTTCTGATGTATTTTTTTGAAACTAGAGAAGCATACAAAGAAGTTGAAAAAAAAGTCAGAAAATAGAGTTTCAGAGTTTGTGCATCTTTGTTTCTAAATTATTGTTCTGTTGATGAGTATCGTTTACACTGTGAATTTGCCAATAGATCAGTTCAACATATTGAAAGATTTCGCAACATGAATATCAATATCAATTGCAATATCCACATCCTCTTCCACCATCACCACCCTTGGGTCAAAAGCTTTATCCACAGTCCTACTCTTCTACTGTCGTTACTGCTAGGTATCGATGGCGCAAATGGCACGCACCATATATGCGCCATTGGCCATTGGGCTCATAATCACCACAAATCTGGTTGTGGCAACCAGTGTTTCCATAGCAATGCCATTTTGGCGCCATCCCCATTCGTGCCCCATTTTTTTCTTTTTGCCCAAAGTTTTATTTATCCAATATATTTGGGCCCAATCGAATAAAACCCTTTATTGAGATTGACGATACTCAATTAGTCAATCATCTCTCACTCTCTCGAGTCGTTCATCTTCTTCACACAGAATGTCGCCATCACAACTTTTCTTCTTCTTTGCTAGTCGCGGCTTTAGGAGGGAAGAATGTTGCATGTTGCGCGACTCTGATATGGGATCATTGCAACTCTGCTACATGCCTCTCTCTGCAACCTCAACCTCTGACTTCCTGGACCTCTTGGGAGTGATGATAAGATATTCATATTTTAAATTGCTAGATCAAAGTTTTTATCAACTTAATTTTGAATTAAGTTTTATGTTTTGCTTAAGTTATTTTAATACTAGCACCTTCAGGTGTTTGGAATGATTTTTTTGTCGTGCTTTTATTTTCAACATGACGATTTAGATCAAGTACTCTATTATTTTTTATTCATTTTATGTCTCATACATTTATGAATTTATTAAATTGGTTGTGTGACTGGTGTCCTGTGGTGATGCCATATATGCGTCATGGCCATTGCCATGCGCCATGAAAGCTATTTACCACATAAACATGCAGAAGCTATTACTGTAGTTGTAACTGAGTCGCAAAAGACCACTGTCAATTAACCCACTTTATTTGGCAA